GGACTGCTAAAAGGACAAACAAATCTCTAGGAAGAAATGTGGCCAGGATCACGCTGGAATGGGAAAGACTAACACTTGCACCCTAGATGGCTGTTCATGAACTTGTAGGACCCCAGTTACTATTCACCAAAGTAGGATGTAGAACATTTTCTTTGTGGACTGTTATGCCAATTGACCTTGGTGTCTCCCATACCCAGGGTTCTGAGCCACGAGGCCCATGAATTCATTCCCTCAGGATGTGAGGTCATAGCTAAGAAGTTTTCATAACTATTCTCATAATACCTGTTGACCTTGGTGACCCCAATACCATGGTTCTGAGCCACCAAGTCCAGTGACTCATTCTCTTAAGGTGTTAGGCCATCTCTAAGAAGTTTTCATTGGTCACCTGTAGGATCCACCACACTCATATATATTTGCAGCTTAGAGAAAAGAAGTCATGGTTAGGTGCCATCTACTCAGTTCTGCCTCAGCGCTACCTTGTTTACAGTAGAATGAAATACTGCTTGGTCTGGTCTCACTTTCATAATTGTTATGTTTGAGCCTATTGTTGCAGCCACTGTATCAGTCCATCTCATGGAATGCCTCCTCCACCCCCCTTTAAAAATATTTTATTGGGGGTTCATATAACTCTTATCACAATCCATACGTACATCAATTGTGTCAAGTACGTTTGTATATTTGTTGCCCTCATCATTCTGACAATATTTGCTCTCCACTTAAGCCCTTGGTATCAGCTCCTCATTTTTCCCCCTCCCTCACTCATGAACCCTTGATATTTTATAAATCATTATTATTTTGCCATATCTTACACTGTCCATCATCTCCCTTCACCCACTTTTCTGTTGTCCATCCCCCAGAGAGGAGGTTATATATAGATCCTTGTGATCAGCTCCCTCTTTCTACCCCACCTTTCCTCCACCCTCTAGTATCACCACTCTCACCACTGGTCCTGAAGGGATCGTCTGTCCTAGATTCCCTATGTTTCTAGTTCCTATCTGTACCAGTGTACATCCTCTGGTCTAGCCGGATTTGTAAAGTAGAATTGGGATTATGATAGTGGGAGGGAGGAAGCATTTAAGAATTAGAGGAAAGTTGTATGTTTCATCATTGTTACACCACACGTTGACTGGTTCATCTCCTCCCCGCGACCCTTCAGTAAGGGGATGTCCCATTACCTACAGATGGGCTTTGGGTCTCCAGTCCACACCCACCCTCATTCACAATATTTTTATTCTCTGATGCCTGATCCCTTCGACACCTCGTGATCACACAGACTGGTGTGCTTCTTCCATGTGGGCTTTGTTGCTTCTGAGCTAGATGGCCGCTTGTTTACTTTCAAGCCTGTAAGACCCCAGACGCTATATCTTTAGAGAGCTGGGCACCACCAGCTTTCTTCACCACCTTTGCTTATGCAGCCTTCCCTTTTTTCAATGACTTTCTAACACACCAAATATGATGTCCTTCTCCAGGGACTAATCTATTCTGATAACATGCTCAAAGTTCATGAGACAAAGTATTGCCACCCTCACTTCTAAGGAGTGTTCTGACTGTACTTCCTCCAAGACAGTTTGTCTCCTGAAAGTCCACAGTATTTTCAAAATCCAACAGTTCAGATGCATCAATTATTTTGTTTTCCTTACTCACTGTTCAACTTTTACATGCATAAGGCAATTGAAAATGACTTGTCCTGGATTAGGCATACCTTAGTCTCAAAGTGCCATCTTTGTCGTTCAACACTTTTAAGAGGTCTTGTGGATCCCTGGTGGAGTAGTAGTTACAAGTTGGATTGCTAACAAGGTCAGCAGTTCAAAACCACCAGCCTCTCTTCCATAAAGATGGGGCTTTCTACTCCTGTAGCGTTACAGTCTCAGAAACCCACAGGGTCTTTTCTGTTCTATGCTACGGGGTCACTGTGAGTCAGCACCGACTCCATGGCAGTGAGTTTGGGTTTTCTGGGCATATTTCCCTAACGCAATAACATCATCTGATTTTTTGGCTGCTGCTTCCATGAGCATTTACCAATCCTTGAAAATTTCCATCGTTTCTCCATTTATCATTATGCTAGTGATCCAGGTATAAAGATTTTGGCTGCAGTCCTCAATCTTCATTAGTGTTTCAAGTTCTCTATACTTTCAGCAAGCCAAGTTGTGTCACCTGTAAATCACAGGTTGTTCCTAAGTCTTCCTCCAGTGCTGATGCCTTTTTCCCCCCTTCATACAGTTTAGCTTCTAGGATTATTTCCTTCGCATATAGATTGAATAAGTATGGTGAAAGGATACAACCCTGACACACACCTTTCTTGCTTTTAAACCAAGCAGTGTTCCCTTGTTCTGTTCACAGGGCTACCTCTTGTTCCATGTGCAGGTTCCTTAGAAGCACAGTGAAGTGTTCTGGAATTCCCATTCTTTTCAGTGTTATATATTTTTATGATTCACACAGGTGCCTGTGCATGATAAATAAAACACAAGTAAATATTCTTAAAGTGGTTTCTCCTTTCAGCAGTAATATTCTTTATGCCGTGTCCTCTACTGAATCCAGCTTGAACTTCTGGCAGCTCTGTTGATGTATTGCTGCAACTGATGTTGCAGAATCATCAGGAAAATTTTATTTGCATTTAATATTAATGATATTGCTTAATAATTTCTGTATTTTAGGGGGGCCCGCCCCACCCCCAGAGGCCCAGTGCACACCGGTCACGACAGGTGGCAATTCTGCTTGGGGCATGTAGTTCTGACCCCCAGCTCCACCCATGCTCTCTCGGTCACTCAGAGGGTTCACCAGCTGTTACACAGCCTTTTTCCTGTGTTAAGATGGGCGAGGTTGGGGGACACAGGAGTGGCAGGGGAGGTTGGGGGGGGACACGGGAGCGAGCAATGAGTACAAGAAAGACAGTGTTCTTTGGTGGTGAGTTGTATCATTTTTTAATATGATTGAGTTGGATCTATAAATTATATCAATAAGTCTGTTAAAAATTAAATGTTTTATTTGGAATAAACCTGTAAATATAGGAATCGGCAACTTAGTAGTAATGTTTTGAATTACTCTCTTCTTGCCTGGAAAAATTTAATCACTTTGTTAGTGCGATTTACCAATAGACTAATGGAAATATGCCTTGATTACTTAAAATATGGATGAGGTGGTTGTACAACAGAGTATCTGACATGTTCGGATCTAATATCCCATGCCTCAAAATTTAAAAGCTTTTCTAATGCAGATGTGACCTCTCAGCACTTGCAATAAACTTAGAGAATGTTTGCTTGGTATCCTATGTGTACAATAGCATTAAAAGGGTGTACCTAATGGGGAATGAGGGGGAGGGGAATGGATTGAATTGATGACTGTATAAAGCCACCCAATGGGACTGAACAACAAACTGTATGGGAAGGGCAGGGATATATTGCAGTGAGTGAGCTATGTCAATGAAAACATTATATAAATTAGAAATCTGAAAAACAAGAAACCAGAAGCATTCCCCGACACAAGATCCTCAGGTCACCTCACTGGGTGGGTGGGGCACTTCGATCCCAGAGCACAGTGTATCTCAACTATGCTTAAGATGTTCTTCTTAACTCGTGAGGGGGACCTGCTTCATGTCTTTTGAGTGACTGTATGCTTTGCCTTCACTCTTTAAAAAAATTAAAAACGGTGTACCTAATTTACTATTCAACAAAAACTAGCTTGAGGCATGAAGTGTTAGGCTATTCAGGTTGAGCAGGGCCACCAGGGAAAGTTTTGTTACGGTCAAGATACAAGAAACTGTAAGGGGAGGTATGAGGCCAACAGAATATGCCTCAAGAGTACGGATAGCGTGACAAAACCCCAACAATTCCAGAACACCATTATTGCTCCCGCAGAATCTGTCCAGAGATTAAGAAGTAGTTGTTCCAGCAAAGGGATAGATAATACTTGCTTTGAAACAAAGGAAAGGTGTGACTGATGCATTTTCACCATAATTAATCTATATGCTGGCCAAATAACCTGAGAAGCTGGATTGAATGTGTGAGAATTGGAGAAGAATCATTAACCATCTGAGGTATGACAATGACGTGCTGTGAAGAAGAAGTACTTACTGTGAAGAGTAGAACTTAGAAACTACAGCTCTCAATATGGATTATGCCTCAATTTAAAAATAACAACAGTCCTCACAGTTGGATCAACAAACACACTGTGATACGCATCATGAGAAAAGACTGAAGTTGTCAGGGATTTCACTTTACTGGGATGCACATCAATGCCCAGGAAAAGGAGCAGTCAAGAAATATAAAAGCATACGCATCAGTCAAATCTGCTACAAGACTTCAGTGTTTGAAAAACCAAGGATGCTTCCTTGAAGACTAAGGTGCGCCTGACAGAAGCCAGACTTCGATTGCCTCATGTGTTCGTAAAGACAGCTGGAAAATGAGTAAGGAATCAGAGAAGAACTGATACTTAGGTGAAAAATATTGAGCAAACAAATCAAGAGGCACAGCCAGAATGTCCTTTAGAGCAAAGATGGCCAGACTTTGTCTTACATACTTTTGACATGTTATTAGGAGGGACCAGTCCCTGAGAAGACCGCAAGCTTGGTAAAGGGTCAATGAAAAAGAGGAAGAGCCACAAGGAGGTTCAAACAATGTTTTGAATGAGGATGGTGTAGGACCACCTGTCATGTTTTGTTCTCCTGTACATGGGGTTGAATTTTCAATGATTTTAAAGTACCTAATCCATACCACCACCACCACCACCATGCCTGGAGGCAAGATGGGCCTGGGGAACTACCATATGTATTCCAGTATAAGCCAACCCGAGTTATCACCTGAGGCACCTAATTTTACCACAAAACTTACATTAAAAATGTGCTGAAAAACTTGGCTTATACATGAGTATATATGGTAATTGGGACCAGCTCAAGGAGGATATTACAGCCTTTGAACAGAGAGCTACATAGGTTCGATATTTCGCCCTTGGACTCCCATTCCTGGCTATTCTAACACTCAAAAAAGGAGAGAAGCAAGCATGGATTTCTCCAAAATCATCAGAGCATTTATTTATTCTCCACACCCAAACCTTCAAAGTAGTTTATAAACAGGTATCCGGTAAACTGATGAAGCATATTAGCAATCTGCTAATAAAAAAATAAGCAATCATTGTATAAAGTTCCAGAAACACTTTATTTAAAAATGGAGTTGTAAATGCATAACAAAATAACGTAAGTAATAAATGTAACAAAAATAAATAAGGAGAATAATGTATTCATACAAAATAAAAATAACATAGTAAAAGGCCAAATGTTTATCAATGAGCAAAACTGTGTAAACACATAAACAATAATGTAAGTGTATTCTAGTCTTTTTCTAAACAACTCCTTACCTTCTACTTCCACATAGATATAATCAGTACCCAAATATTAAGTGAAAGAATAATGGTGATTATTTTGCTTGAGAAAACAAAGATGGATTGACCCTGTTTCAATGCTTTCTTTTCTTCAATGCAGTTATCTTTCCGTTCACGTTCTTTACAACTTTCCCCACCCCCCGTGCCCCATCTGCCTTTATTAGAGAGAATGGGAGAAATTTAGTTTTACCATAAGAAAGTTCACTGACTTTTTCATTTTTAAATTAAAAAAATTCATTATGTAATAGACTTTTAGTTTTACATCTCTACAAAAAATTGTTTATTGACTGATTCTTTAGTGTACAGGATTTTAGAAATCCTGTAAAATTGTGAAACATAGAATTTGCTTGTTTCTTAAATGGAACACAGGATTAAGCTGAAATATTAAAGACCATTTCATAAAAGTTGCAGTTTTAACCTTTATAGACTTATGGGATTAAGGGGGAAATCCTGGTCTAATAATACTACTGAATTAAGATTATCCACATTATAGTATTCTGGAAACACAAATATAATGATTTCCTTATTAAATGTATGGGAAAGAATGTCAACTTATGGGAAAGAAAAATCAAGCCTTTAGAAGATAATTTTTGTAAGCTTCTTCTTTAGTAACACAGGCCCAAGCCCTGTCACTGTCACCCTCCAGAGCCCTTATAAATGCACGACCGACACAGGAATTACCATTGTGCCCTACAGGGAAGCACACACGCACACTAATCTTAGGACAGCTTGCTCTCTCCGAGTCTCCTAAGAAAGAAAATGTTAACCTCATGATCATTTCAAGGGAAAAATTTTCAACTGTCACATATAAACTTGGTAACACAGGACCAATATACATGTTCTTAGTTTTAAAAATATACTCCACCTAAACTAGTTTAATCTTTCTAGTTATTATTTGAACTAAAATGAGACAAAAGCTTATTTCCATTAAAAAAATTGAAAAAGTGCCAAATTGATCTTTTGGAAAGTGGAGTAAAACACTGTGGGGTAAAACAAAGACAGTATTAGCAATCTCCTATGTACAAACAAAGACAATTAGTCCTTACTGATCTATAGATATGTCTATCTACCATTCCCAGTAAATCGTAGTGCAAACATAATAAACTCCGTAAACCCCGAGACAATTTACGTAGCAATGAAGTTTATAAATCACACAGAGGTTGGAAAATTTTAGAAGACAAGAATGAATGTTTTGAAAAGGTCTGTTTTACTGTGAAGAGTAATCTGTCATTTTATCCAATGGAAATGAGTACTAATATAACTGATATTGTTAAGAAGCAAATATAACTGTTAAACAAATCTGTACAGATGAAGAGGAAGTCTATTTCAGGGCACAGCTTGGCACAGGAGAAAAGGAGTTTCGGAAATGTTGGTATTTAGTTTGCTTTTAAGTCACAGCATGGCTTAAAACCAACACCAAAACAGGGGTCTATGAAAGGAAAGGGTGCAATTTTAGAATTCATACACCTACAGAAGGCAAAACTGCAATCTCACCTTTTCTCAATATGTGCAAAAGTGGTTATCCAAAAAAAAAAAAATGGTTATCCAAATGTCTCGAGAAGGTTAATATTGGTACTATATTATAGACAAAAAGAAATAAATAAAATTAAGAAGACAGGGCTAACAAAACGGTAGTTGACCAAGCTGTCTTGTTTTGTGTACATCAACAACACTATGCTGCTTCCATAATCCTAGTCATTCCACAGGTAATAATTTTTAACGTTCAAAAGAAAGTCATTCCTGTACTGTTCCATCTTCCTCTTCTCCATCAGGGTTGAACCGATTGAAATGTATACTGAAGTCAGCTTCAGATTCAGCATTCTCAAACTCGGCTGAGACCGAGTTACCAGCAGGATGAAGACCCCTAGTTTCTGCTTGGCAAAGTGTTGGTGTCTGACCAGGGCTGCTGTGGTTAGTCACAGGACTGGACTTCTGTTTTGGTGGAGATGGCAAGATAGCACTGGGAAATCCCATGTTATTCAGAGCCTCCAATGTTCCATCTGGGTCAATCATAGCATTGATTGCTGAAAGAACAATAACAAAAGGAACTGTGGGGTTAAAGAAGTGCACAGGGACATTTAGATATGAATATTACTTGTCATTTGGATAATGTTTTAACATTTGGTACTTAATGTGATCTTAAACTTTATTAACCCTGCCAATACTGTATTTTAAAGTCGATTTCTCAATAATTATGTGGCTGACCTATACTATCAATTATAAAGGCCTGAATGCTTTTTCTGGCATTTGGGTAGTCACACTTATGGAGATGTGAAATTGAAGACACACTTTTTCAAAATTTACCTTCATTAATGTGAAAGGACAGTGGAAATACTGGTTGAAATTTATATAAATTATAGCCCTATTTATCATGAGGATGAATTGTTACAAGATGGTGTTTCAGAGAAACTGAAAGGCAGGAGATGCTAGAATGCTATTAGCATAGTTTGTTTCCACCGCATGTTGCTGCTTACCCTAGAGAGACTGCTGGGACACCAGTCGTGTGTAAGTATATATGTATCACTGAGCCATCTGGGCTCCTTTATTGCCTAAGTACTCGCTACTCCATGGCATCCCCAAGAAGCTACATAGATTCTGTTATCTCCCTTGGCAAGGCACCAGTATAAGACTAACTTCCAATACTAAAGATCTTTTGTGGAATGAGAAATAGTTTTTAGGCAATGATTTTCAACTTGACATTGGGTGGAGACTTGGGAAAAGGAAACACTACAGGCATAAAAATCATTTAGCAGGTCCACTTCCATGCTACCAATGAACAATCTATTGTAATTACAAGCCACTTTTACAAATGGTGCTGTATCACTAACTTTGGATGCGTTGGGACAGAATAAAAATTAAGCATTACTTGGATAGGATCCTCATATTATGCCTATTATCAATAAGATTGAGTAGAATTAGCAGGTGATTCTAGAATCTTCTTGTTATACTGGCAGGAACTTTTCTAAGTCAAGAAAGACATGTAAAACCCACCATTCATGCAAATAAATCTAGATTTTTTTAAAGTTTAGGAGGCAAACATCTGAAAGTCCCTCATCTTTTAACCTACATGTTATTACACTTACCTAAATGATATTCTAATAAGAATATTTTAAGAAATATTACTTAGAAGACAGTTATCTTAATGATGAGTTCTTAGTTCAACAGTACATTTACCTTGTAGTTGCTTTTCAACTCTTTTCAGTTCTTGTAAGATTGAAGAAATCTCCTGTAAGGAAAGTAATGACAAAAATTAGTGTAACAAAAATGTTTTTTTTTAAACAGGTTATGACTCTCAGACTCATTTGTGATATTTAATATCACCTACCTGTTATGAGGGGTCTTCAAAAGCCCTGGAAAAATTTTATTAATGCGATTCCATTTTCTATTTACTTCCTGAAGCCCCCTCATATTAATTAGTATACCCCCCAAAATTAGTCTACCCACCTAACAAAATAGTTACGATATGCATTCAGAAAAATTCAAAATCTCTAAATTATTGAAATAAAATGAGTCCTTCCAATGAAACAATGGTAGTGGGTGATGAAAAATTAAAGATACTCTACCATTACATGACCAAGGATTTTAAAACTCTTACAGCAGTGTTATAAAAATGTATATGGATTTTCTTTGGAAAAAAGGAAAAGAGTATAGACTGCAACCTCAATACTTGGGTGACTCTTCATGAGTGATAAAAATATATTCAAATACTTGAGGAAGATAAGCATTCCATTAATTAAAGGGAAACAAGTCAGTCCAACTGAAAATCTGAGTTGTATGGCTCTTATTACAAAGTGAATATTTAAAATGTATAATTACATACAAGAACAAGGAGCCCTGGTTACATAGCGGTTAAGCGTTGAGCTGCGATCAGCAAGGTCAGTAGTTGGAAACCATCAGCAGCTCCGCTAGACAAAGCCTGAGCTTTCTACTCCTGCACACAGTTGCAGTCTCAGTTACAGAGGGCGCTATGAATCAGCACAGACCCGATGGCAATGAGGTTTGAGATTTTCTTAAGACACAAGAACATGAATGTATAATAATGAGAAACACAAAAGGTCACCCCTTTATATACTCTGCAATTTTAAAGCAATCAATATTTTTAAAGCCCTGTGAGAGTTGAAGGCATAAAACTTCCAATATTTGTGTATTTATATCTTCTTTTATTAATGTAAATTTTAAAATACTACAAGTATAGGCATGCAATCTTTTCCTAAACATGAAAGTTTGATATAAAATGTTTTAATCTTCAAAGAAAAAAAGCACCATACCATGCTTGCAGTTTTCACAATTGGTACTTCACTTTCAGTCCTTAACTTGCTTTCTATTTCATCCCAATTCCGATCTTTGTCTTTAAATAAGATTCTATAAGTGAGTAAATATGAGCATGTTACTTTTCATATTTTAAAAACATAACACAAATCTTTGTTAATTATAATACCAAAAACAATGTATCTTAGAAGTCACACAAAGGAAATACACTAAAACAAAAATGTAAGTGAAACTACTGAATGAACATTTACAGTAAAGTCATATATTTGACATCTGCATTAAAAAAGAAATGATCAATACATGCAACCCTCCTCATTATTTATTTTATTCTTTACGGAAAACTAAAAATAAGTTATGTAGACAAGGATATAATTCTAAAATTTTATCTAATAGTTTTAATTAGCACTATAACTAACCACCATTTGTAGTGAAAGTACAATTTCATTCAGAGATATATATTATAAAAGATGAAATTAAGATGAATTAGGCATAAACATCTGTGTTAAACTTAGAAAAATATCTCACTGATAAAACAAGGTGTGAACATTATTTAAAGTGTTGCAAATTGAAATACTCACTGTGCTTTTCTTTAAAAACTTTAATTCATTTAAGTTTAGTAATAGTATTCTATCAGGAAGTAAGATGCTATCCTTTTGATGAAGCAATCGTCAATAAAGATAATTATTCGTATGTTAAAATAATGAAGTGCAGCATAACTTTTTCACACATGGTACACTTTGCTCTCCATATTTTCAGATTAATGAGATATAATTCAGCAGTATTAGGCAAATATACATTCTAGTAACTTCTTAGGTTTTTGAAATGTCTTGAGTCTGAAAATCTACTTCAACTGTCTTATCCAAACAAACATAAATACAGTGAAATATTAAGAAAGTAATTACTAACGGAAGATGCTTTAAGTATTAAATAGTAAATTAAATTAACATTATTATTTGTATTTCTTCCAAGGTCAATATGCAGGTTTACTTTATGAAAACATGAAATTCATCAACATAAAATCAAATCTGAAATATGCTTAAAAAGGTAGTAATAGCTCTCGAATCTAGTGTAAGAATATTCTCTTGGCCTATTTTCTAAACTGGAAACACCTTTCCCAGCCATCTTCTTAAGAGGTGCTGCCCTGACCATTACAATCTTAAAAGCAGTTGCTGTCGAGACACTTCCAACTCAAGGCAACGCTATGTATGCTGGAACAGACAGGGCAACCCTCCATGTGTCCGAGTAGAACTGGGTTCCATAGGTTGCAATGGCTGGTTTTTCGGAAGTAGATAGGAAAAGCCTCTCTTAGGAGTCCTCTGTGGGTGAACCAGAATCTCAACATTCTGGTTAGTAGTCAAGTGTATTAATCAATTTCACCATCCATGAACCCCACTATGATATATATTTTAATGTTTTTTTAAAATTAATAAATCATTTTATTGGGGGGAACCCCACTATGATATTATCACATAAATAAATCACTATATGAATTTGGAAAATGTATACTTATAGAAGATTTAATGTTTATTTCTTTAGTTATTTCATTAATTTATTGATGTAAAAATACTCTTTCCATAATGCTCTACTTTTACAGTACAATTCAAATGAAATTTCAAAATGATGACAATGTAAGGGTAAATGCAAAAGAATTGCTACAATCATAGAAACAAAAAGTCATCAAAAATATGAAAATATAGAGCTAATATTTCCCAAAATGTCCTTCACTTAGGATTGAGCACTTTTTGGATTGTCTTTTAATATTTTGTATTTATTGTGATTAAAAAATTATTGTGGTTTGGGTGCAAGTTTACAGTCATCTGGTTTTCCATTCAACAGTTCAAACACATTTTGTTTTGTAATGAACATGAATGTGACCATGTCTGGTCATGCTACAGCTCTAACTACTCTAGGGTATATATTGAGTAGCAGGTTACTGTTCATATAATATTCTTATGTACAACTTTTTAAAAAGTACCATATCATTTCCCAGTGATTGGATCATTTTATAGTCCAACTAATAGTGTATGTGAATTCTAGTTTCTCTCTCTCTCCATACTAAGTAGTATTTATTCTCAGCTTCTCTATCAATGTTGTGGAGTGGTAATAACACATTTTGTTTTGATTTGCATCTCTCTAATGGCTAGAGGGCTGCCTTGAATTGAAATTGGCTTGAGGGGCATGGGTTTGGGTTTTTGAATTTAATAGCGAATGATCACAAACAAGTCTTCATATTTATTGGCCACCTTAATGTCGGCTATGTTTAAGAGTCTGTTCATGTTTTCTATAAATTTTAAGTATTTGTTGCTTGTCTGATAAATCATTAAAAAAAAATGTCACCAGTCTTTGATGCCTTTTTATTGATTTGGCGAAATCTTTTGATGTGTCTAATTGTTCAGAGGTACCTTCCAGGCATCTAGTTTGTCTTCCATTGTCTGCTTTAGTTATATTCAAGAGCAAATGAATGGCATGTAGTACGAGCCCTGGTACTATAGCGTTGACATGTTGGGTTGCTAACTATAAAGTCAGCAGTTTGAAACCACTAGCCACTCTGTGGGAGAAAGGCAAGGCTTTGTATGCCAGTAAAAAATAACAGTCTTGGAAACCCCTGGGGCAGTTCTGCCCTGTCCTAGAGTGTCATATTAAGTCAGAATCAACTTAATGGCAATGAGTTTTATGCCATGTATTTGGCCCCCTAAGTTTGCCTCTATTTTTTCCTTTCACCATCATTATAGCTCTGGGTTTTACATTCAAGTCTCAGATACATCTTAGTTAGTTTTTTACATAAGTTAAAAAGCCAGTTTCATTGTTCTGAAAATGGTTATTCAGTTGTGGCAGCACAGCCTCTAGGTTTTCAATTCTGTTCCACTGGACTATGTGTCAGCCATTAAACCAACACCAGGCCCTATAGTAGGCTGGGACATCAGGGAGTATGAAGCTGTTACTTTTTGTTTAGTAGTGCTTTGATTATATGGGTTCTTTCCATTCCATATAGAGTTGGTAATTAATTTTTCTGTTTCTGCAAGAATGATGATGACATATGTATTGGGATTGCATTTTATTTGTAGGTCATTTGGGGGAGTAGCGGTATTTTCACGATGTGAAGTCTTTCTATCCATGGGCAGCATGTATATTTTCATTTATGTAGGTTTCTTTTAGTTTGCTGTAGTGGGATTTTATAGGGTTCTCTATAGGTTTTCTGTAATTCAGGGTAGGCTTATTCCTAATTACTTCATCTTTTGGGGGCGGTGGCTATTTTAAATGGTATTGTTTTCCTTTTTAGAGTTCTCTTTGTTAGGTATAGCTGTTTCCCTAGTGGGCCATACCACCCTCGGGGTGTGTGTATGTGTGTGTGTGCTAGAATGATCCAGGGATCTACAAAAGCAGGCATCTACACTTTATCCTGGATTATGGGGCTACAGTAAAAGTTTTTCATTGTCAGGGGGACACAAAGTTATTTTTTCTGAAACGAGGGTGACAAGCCAAATAAGTTTGGAAACATATTGTGTAGAGGAATACAACTAATGTTGTATCTCATACCCTTACACTATGCTGAAGAATTCTACTGGTTGTAGTTTTATTTTTGATGCACTGATTTTTTTTATGTATCAGATCATATCAACTGCAAAACTCTGCCTCATTGGATGCCTTAATTTCCTTTTCTTGCCTTATTTCTCTGGCCAGGTCTTCCAATAAAGTATCTAATAGGGATGATGATTAGGACTATCCTAGCCTGGCTCTTATTCATAAGGGGAATGTTTTCTATCAGTCTATCTCTATTGAGAATAATGTTGGCCACAGGTTTTTGTGTGTATGACCTTAAAGTATGTTGAGAAATTTCCCTTCTATTACTAAGCATTTTTATTATGAATGGGTGATGGGCTTTGTCAAATGCATTTTCTGCTTCAACTGATATGATCATGTGGTTCTTTTCCTTAGTTTTGTTATGGTAGATTAAGTCATTGAATCTTTTTCTAATGCTAAAGTAAACCATCCCTGCAAATCTGATATGATTCTCACTTGGTCATGCTTTATTACTTTTTCATTATTTTATTGGATACTGTTTGCTAATATGTGGTTGAAAATTTTTACATCTCTGTACATGAATATTTTTAAATAGTTTTCTTTTTTAGCAATGTCTTTTTCTGGTGATAATGGGAAGGTTTGCTTTGAAGGATGTGTTCAGGAGTACTCAACCCTTTTCTGTGTTCTGAGATAGTTTGAAGAGAATTGTTATCAGCTCTTCTCTGATTGGTTAAAGTCCACTAGAGAAATTGTCTGGGCCAGTAATATTTTTGGTTGGGAGTCATCTTTATGACCTGTTCAATTTCTTCTTTTGAGATGTGACCCTTCAAATGTTCTATCTCAAATTATATGTGCTTGCATAAGCTATGTTTGCATAAATTTGTCCATTCTTCTACGTTTTCAAATTTGTTGGAAGACAGTCCTACTGTTCGGTTACCATTACCCTTTTTTATTTAATACTTTCTGCTGTGATATTGCCTATTTCACTCTGATTTGTGTTATTTGCACCTCCTTTTCCTTTGTTGAATTGTCCAGCAGGACATCAAATTGGGTACAGTATAGGGGCAGGGAAAAAGAGTATGGTCCTCCACAAGAAGCACTGACAGAGTGGCTGCAACAATGAGCTCAAATATAAGAACAATTGTGAGGATGGAGCAGTATTTCACTCTGTAGTACACAAGGTCGCTGTGGTAGTTACATAATCTGCTGTCAACTTGTGGAGGGGTGGAGTCTAGCCTGTCAATCAGGTCGCAGCTTGATGACCTCATTTGGAAGTGCTACGGAGATAAATAGCTGGAGGCAGGACAGACAAACTCTCTGCTTCCTCTTCCTTCTGACAAGATGCTCACTCCCTGGGAGCCATTCCTGTTGACAAGACACATGGAGCTAAGCTAGCGTCCTGGAGCTGGAGGAGCCACATAGAGACCCCTGCCAGAGCTCAGATGCTTTCACCACCATTGGATCCACAAGACTTTCCACCCACTGACCTGTGATCTCCTGCATTTGGTGCCATTGGATGGCTACTTGAGTCTAAAGAGAAATTTATGGACTAGAATCGGACAAATGGACTT